CCCCGCCCCGCCCCCCGCAGCAAAGGCGGGTTGGAAAGCCACGGAACCCAAAACTCCCGCGGGCGCCCGGGCACTTCCGGCATACGGACCGGAAGTGGGCCTCCCCCTGCGGGCTGCGATTGGTGGGTGGGGTTGGCCCCGCCCCGCGCTTCCTGCTGGCGGCGGGGGGGGGGGGGCGGGGGGGCGGCGGGATGGCGGTGCAGGCGGTGCACCTGGAGGCGGACGCCTTCCTTGTCTGCCTCAACCACGCGCTCAGCACGGAGAAGGAGGAGGTCATGGGGCTCTGCATCGGCGAGGTACCGCCGCGGCCCCTCGTCTCCCCTGCGGGCGGGTTCCCGGGGCGGGCGGGTATCGCCCCGGAGCAGGACGCGAGGCCCGGGGTGCCCCACAGGCGGCCGTGGAGCTCAGTCATCCCGTGATCCGGCACCTGCAGGCTGCCTCTTGCGGTGCTGGAGCATGCCCGAGCGCAGCCCCTGGGGTACGCGCCGCCGGCGGTGCTCCCTGGGCCCGGTCCTGGGCTGCCTCCGCAGCGCTCCTTGGGCTGGTCCCAGGCTGGGCTGGGCAGGAGCTGCTTGTGCCGGCAGGCGGTGGGGGAGCAGGAGGAAGGGAGCTCCGTGGCTTTGATCTGCTCCGTGGGCCGGCTCCACACTGGCCCTGACGAGTTTGACGTCCTTGTTGCAAACCTCAGTTGGGGGCAGAGAGGAAGTCTGTGTACAGGTGTCCATGCACGTGTGTCTGGCTACAGGTAGGCATATGCAAGGCGTTTTCAGAAACGAAGGGCAGAAAGCAGCAGAGAGCACTGAAGATGGTGTGGAGAACACACCTGTTGTTTTGCTCTGAATATGTGTATAAGACGAGCGAGCATGCAAATAGCATGAATGCACAGCTGGCTGTCAGCACACAGTAAAGGAGAACAGAGTTCTGTCTTTTAGCGGGGGTGTTGGGCCCAAGGCCTAGTGAAATTCACTGTATGGCTCAATGAAAGTCTACGAGTGGGTGGAGAAGTTAAAAAATGACCCCACATCTGTAGTGGATGAATCTTAAGCAGGATTTTACTATGAGGCAGAGGTGTAACATAAAGTGTAGGAGTGTCCCAACCACTGAAACATTTCTTTAAGGAATATCAAGAAACTTGTCACTTGCTGGAATACCTGTATTGCAAAGCAGTGTGACTAGAGAAGTGGCATAGTCTAGTAAATGATCATTGCACACAGAATGATTTTATTTTGAAATTGCTGTTAGTTTCTGAAGGACCCTCCATAAGCATGCCTTTGCATCATTTATGTGTGTGTCTGTGTGTATGTTTGTGTGTGTCTGTGTATCTATCTATGTAATACACACACATGCACATATATATATTGCTTATGTGAAAATGGTGTCTTAGCAATACTGACATACAGGAGCATGGGTGACTGGTGCTGCCTTAGTCGGGGCGGGGGCACGTGCTCCCCCTGGCACCAGTCTGGCTCCCTGGTGGGTCTGCCACAGCTGATCTCACTGCCTGGAGGGAGTTCCCCTGCGGCTAGTGGCTGCAGCCGCTTCTAGAAGTGGCTGCAGCAATCAGACGG